TTTTTTTGAAAAACTGAATACACTTGTTTGACTCGACCAAATGGAAGTGGTTTTTGTTTGTTCCACTTCTTGTCGAGTTAATACAAATACATTTTCAGAATTACGGTTACGATTAACTATGCTATGATGTTTGATTTTGGCGCTAATAACTCCGAAGTTGATTAGGGCACTCTCAATTGGAACGACCCCTGCGCAAAGTGGCGAACTGTAATGAATCGCATATCACTAGATGCGTCTTGATGAAGTTATTTCAGTCCTACATTCCGATATTGAGCGACTGATTTCAAAGACTGCTCACCTTGAAGACTAAAAAAAATACATTTGAACGACTAGTTTTTGAAGGCGTTGAATAACCGCCGAACTCGGACTTTTGCATGTATTTTCTTTTGAAGAACATTTTCGCAATTATGGGAGGCAAATTTGGAACTAGCTCATCAAGATGCATCTAGTAGTATGCGGTTCTTCAGTGCCTTCTTCCTATACCCATTTTATGTACCTCTTTAGCTGATGTTTTTTGTGTTATCACCATGTTTTTGTTCTGCTGTTCTACTTTTAGTTTACCTGAGTTTCCTGTATTTTAGAAGATCTTTTTCTCTATATTGGTCACATTCTGCACGTAAAAACATATGTAATGTCTTGATGCTCTGGTACGGGTCAAAACTGTTGTGGCCTCAAATAAATTATCGCTCGAAGCGGTTCTAAGAACTTGTCATTTTCTCCGACTTCAAAACTTTGATCCTGGCATTTTTATTCGCTTGGATCTGGTGCACAAAAACACTCGACATTATTTTAAATACATTAACTATGTACTCATCGTTACGGATTCGAATTAGCTAGATCTGGCCACTACTTTATTGGCCTTAATTGTTGGACGCATGATCTGAAATCGGCGAGTTGAGAAAAAATACTTTTTTGTAGGTTTCTACCTGAAAAGAGCACACTAATCCTTCGTCAACATTCATCATTGCTGCTGCATTGTCAAATTGCCCACAGTAATGTGGCGCGGAAAATATGGTAACCAGCCGTTTATTGGCGAAAAACTCGTAACCATCTTGTACGACCTAGAAGACTCACTAATCGCGACCTGGAAAGCACAAAAGTTCCAGCATGCCTGGTGTGCTCTAGCTATAAGATCAATGTCCAAAAGTGGGAGCGTGTCATTCACAACATCTGCTCCAAAAACATAAGAGACGCCTCGAGTATTTGATTGCCATCCCTAAAAATAGTTTCTCACTTGCT